ATAATTGAGGTCATCAGCGTAAAAGTGGCCTAACCCATAAAACTGGTGCTTCTAAATTGCAATTTATTTGAGACAAAATAAATTTTGACGTAAAACCGGCATGTCCCTAGTTTGGGCGATAGATAACAGATGGATTTATTGCCCTTGTATGCTGACGAGCTAACGGCCCACCTGATGGTGAGTGGTTACTGTCGCCCATGAGCTTCAGCAGTGCCAGGGGTAGAGTTAAACCGCTGCCTACCGTTGCTTTAACAAGGATATCGATGAATTCTTCGAATTGATAATTTAAGGCGGTCAGACAATCTTCACGGTATATCTCTCAGGTTATTTGCGTTTATTTATTTATGTACACACAGAAAAAATACATAGTACTGAGTAATAGGAAAATTATGTACAAAGGCACTGTTTATTTCTTTAAGAAATCTCTTCCAGCAGACCTGCGAGAGGATAATGAGAATAATAATAAAAAGTGATCAGTGTGTGTAGAACAAATAACACATAACTAAAATAACAAATACAACGTGAATTGTTACAACAACATTGCGTTTCTGAAAATGTCAACCGTCTCCCGGCCTACGTTTCGTCGAACGGATCGATGAAGCAAAAGCCGAATTACGCGCCATCAGGAGCAGACGTGGAAGCGTCGTTTCGCAGTTATAATTAACTAAACTGTTATTGTTAGTAATCGCGACGTTTCTGTTCGCCTTGTCTTTATTGCTTTTCATGTAATTGTAGAGTTTTACTGTGATGTTATTACTGAAAAACGTACAATCATTTAGATTCCCACAAGATGGGCCGACGACCTATTGAGGTTCGCGGGGATCCGCTGGATGCAGGCAACGCAGGATCGGTCTTTGTGGCGAGACTTGAGGGAGACCTATGTCAAGCAGTGGACGTCCATGGGCTGATAAGAAGAAGAAGTACAATCATTTTAATGTTTTTTTTTTTAGGTGATGGTTTGAAAATATTTATTTGTTATCCCTAAACATTTTTGGAATGAAGTTCCTTATGGGACGATGCGGAGGGGTACCCTAACCGGAAAAAAACGTCCGTAACGTAAGATTTTTATTAGTAATGCACACATTGTACGACTTAACTTTGTAATAACGTACAAAAAATAACATATTTTTTTATCATTCATTGACCACGATCTCAGAGCGTTAGTTTGCGCAATACACTAACAACCGTGAATGAAGTGTACCACAATAAGTTCGCACGTTACCGAATGACCGTGGGTTGTTGGTACCTACCAGGGCACCTGGCAGGGCGGTGGTACCTAAGTAACCACCACGTAAGTACATACATTTCTTGAATAATTTTATGAAAGGTGGAGTAGCAATCTATATAGTTGTAAGATATCACTATCTTGAATATCAGTAATACCAGGGGTACAACAAAATCGCTGCCTATGTAAATAGGAATCAATTTAGCATCTCTTAAAAAATAATAATGATATGTGACGAAAAGCGCTTTTGCGCTAGATTATCCCCGAAAAGGCAAAGCTGACGAGACGAGCTTAGTGCTTCCAGGAATAGGATTGAACTGTGCGGCATTAGCGGGTCGTGCGATGATAAAATGGAGATTTTTTTTATTGTTTAGACGGGTGGATGAGCTCACAGCCCACCTGGTGTTAAGTGGTTACTGGAGCCCATAGACAATATACAACGTAAATGCGCCACCCATCTTGAGATATAAGTTCTAAGATCTCAGTATAGTTACAACGGCTGCCCCACCCTTCAGAGCGAAACGCATTGCTGCTTCACGGTAGAAATAGGCAAGGTGGTGGTACCTACCCGTGCGGACTCTCAAGAGGTTCTACCTCCAGTGAACCTACCACAAGTGTAATGAAACTGGAACACCTCTTAGAGAACCTAAATTTCCATTCTCTGATGAATCCCTATTTTAGGTTGACACCGAACAGCCTATATTTATGTATAGGTAAAGAAGAACCTTTTTTATGTAATTTTTATGTAAAACCTTTGAAAATTTTTAGTTAAAAAAAAGATTTTTTTAATATAAATTGCCTGAACTCTCTGTCATTGAGAAAAAAGAGCAGTTCAGTTTTACTTAATTCAATAATACTTTGTAATATAATTATTTAAAACGCAAAATAAAGGCTTTAAATGTTGTTTTCTTAATATTGTACAGAAAACGCTAAGTCTGTTATTATTGATCAACCATTTTTAAAATATTCTATATAATTATAAATATTTATACATACATATTTGTATATCTGTATGACGCGAGAGCGTGTATGTTAAGGTTCATTATGCCTACTTTTGCGGCTGAGTTTTCACGCATAACTATTCAAAGAAAAGCACAGCGTTACACGATAAAAGTGAGATTTCGAGCTCATAACTGATAATAGTTAGCGCCATTCATGATGTCCATGGACTTTAGTAACATGCATCTCGAGCTTGACTACCTATATAGAACAAAACAACATTAATAATATAAAATGATGATCACAGTGTAATGGCGTCATTGTGAATGACGTCACAAAGATCCAGACTAATTTACAGAAAGAAAAATGAAAAAGCATTTGGTTTTCTGAAGCGTGAAATAAACTTAGGTCGTTTGGCGCTTACATTTTGTAGAAACAAAATAATATTTTAGGAACACCTTACATTCTTTTTTTTTTTTTATTGCCTTTGTAGGCAGACGGGCATACGGCCCACCTGATGGTGAGTGGTTACCGTCGCCCATGGACTTCAGCAATGCCAGGGGCAGAGCCAAGCCGCTGCCTACATGCTTACGTATGCCGCGTACTATGTAAATACTGATTGTAAGGTTACTTCAGGCTGCCTCACCCTTCAAACCGAAACGCATTACGGCTAAATAGGCAGGATGGTGGTGGTAATTACCCGTGTGTACTCACAAGACGTCTTAGCAGCAGTAATAGCGCGGAATCTATATATTTTTACAACTTTTGATAATTTCGTCTGTTTATATATTACAATGGTAAGTGAACAAACTTATTTTTTTTTTATTGCTTAGATGGGTGGACGAGCTCACAGCCCACCTGGTGTTAAGTGGTGACTGGAGCCCATAGACATCTACAACGTAAATGCGCCACCCACCTTGAGATATAAGTTCTAAGGTCTCAGTATAGTTACAACGGCTACCCCACCCTTCGAACCGAAACGCATTACTGCTTCACGGCGGAAATAGGTGGGGTGGTGGTACCTACCCGTGCGGACTCCCAAGAGGTCCTACCATCACTTACGGCCTAGAAAGTAGTAAGTGCTTATCAGGGCATATAGACATGTATAAGTCCTGATAAATACTTAGCACAGCGCCCGTATCAACATTCGAACTGTAGTGGAAGATGCTTTTCACATTCTGATGGAGTGTGCGCGGAATGATGATTTGAGACAACAATTCTTTGCAAATTATACAGATTTTCGATTAGGTTGGAGGTGCAAATTGCGTATTAGCCTTTCCGGAATCCGAAATGGCTAAGTCACTTTATAAAATAGTGTTGGTGGACCTTCCGAGACGATAACAGTATCCTTTATTTATTTATTTATGTACACATAGAAAAGAAGACATAGTATAGAGTAATAGGGAAATTATGTACAAAGGCGCTGCTTATTTCTTTAAGAAATCTCTTCCAGCAGACCTGCGAGAGGATTATGAGAATAATAATTAAAAGTGATGAGTGTGTGTACAACAAATAACACATAACTAAAATAACAAATACAACATGAGAATTATAGTAATGCACATGCGCATAGCAAATATTGTTAAACTTAAACTTTTTATAGATTTTTTTTTATTGCCTTTGTAGGCAGACGAGCATACGGCCCACCTGATGGTGAGTGGTTACCGTCGCCCATGGACTTCAGCAATGCCAAGGGCAGAGCCAAGCCGCTGCCTACCGCAATTACTATCTTTTGTTGCATAATAGAGTGACATATTCACTAGGTGAATAATCTCCTTAAATAAAGATATAAAAAAAATGTCATTCGAACTATAGCTCATGAATGCTGCGCTAAATAGATGAATGTTAGCAACCACAAGAAAGTTAATACAGCCAAATAGATGTTCTCACGAAACAAGTGCGAAACTTGTAAATTTTTTAAATTTCTCTTCTAAATCTCGAGCTCATAGTCAGTCTGATGTCAAGTGGTTACCGGAGCCCATAGATATCAATCAATAATATAATAATGTCGCCACCTAATCACTTCTTCGCGGCAGAAATAGCCAGGGTACCCACCACTACGGGCTTACAAGAGGCTCTACTATTAGTAGACGCTCTACCACTAATAGACGGCTCTGCCATCAATGTATGTTGTCTATTATACGCTTACATTGTTGACCAGTTGAAGAGCGCAATCCAGGAAATACCTGTGTAATTATTAGGAAGGTCAAGTTTTAAATTTACTGTTTTGTTGAATTTCCATTAATGATGCAGCAATTAAATATTATTGTTTATGCACGAGATTAACATTAAAATTAAATAACACGTAAAAAATAATACGAATAAACGATAACTTTATCCAATATATTTTAAGATATTGACAAAAAAAAAGTTGCTATATTTCAAAGATTTATTTCAAACCACAGAATAGATGACGTATTGACAAACTTTTCAATTTCGAATTACAAAAAAAAGAATACGAAAAAAAAAACAAATATAAATAAGCGCGTAGGTGTGTAAAGAATTATTTTCTTAAATATTACTGTTTATGCACAAGATTAACATTAAAATCAATTAACACGTAAAAAATAATACGAATAAACAATAACTTTATCCAATATTTTGATATTGAAAAAAAAAAGTTGCTATATTTCAAAGATTTGTTTAAACCACAGATGACGTAATGACAAACTTTTAAATTTCGAATTACAAAAAAAGAATACGAAAAAAAAAAAACAAATATAAATAAGCGCGTAGGTATGTTCAAAATTGTTCTCTTTGAAGTGATTTGGCGCGTTTTTCGGCGCGTTTCCCGCGTTTTTCCTCGAGCTACGCAAGCCCAGGGCAGTCGCTCGCGAAACGCCGCGCCTAAGACACGTGCTTGCGTCTGGCCGCGATAATAATGACACCGTGAAAAATTCGTTCGGTCCGCACTATTTCGGTCGCAGTGAGCGAAATATTAAAATTAGACAATTTATAACGAGAAGGATAAATTAATCGTGGTGGGTGACAGTGTTGATCGGATCTTGTGAAGTTTGGTGTAGTGGATTATATATTTTTTTTTCAGTTATACACGATCGTTCGAAACTAAAGGGGTAAGTTTAAAACCGATTTTTTTTTATTCGATTATATTGTATCCTTTTATATCGGGCCGGCGATTGAATTGGTGCGATTCATCTGTCAATATGAATACGCTATTGTTTATTGACTGAGACGGGTTGTGAACGGAGTGACATCGTGGAAGCAGTGAGACGAGTATTGATTGCCGATAATTTTCCAGACCGATAATAGATTTTATATAATAAAACAATTCAATTAAGAATTACTACATGATTAATTATCTAATGCTATTTTTAAACTCAATTCAATGAACAATGACAAAACATTTTCTGTCTTAACGAATCATTCAAAATTAAGTAAAATTGATTAGAAGTAAAATTAAAAAATAGCATTAGGTCTGAAAAAAAACCTTTCTATTCAATAAAGGGCAATGCATATTAAATTAGTTTACTACAAGATACAGGCTGAAATTTACAAAAGGAAAGAGCGCTCGTCAAAATTTTGTATCAAAGACTAAGTTTCAGGTTTACGAATTTAAAGTTTAATATTTCTAATATACAAATACCGGGAATTCACAGTGTGATTATGGTCAATAGGTAGGGTTTACTGGTGGTAGGACCTCTTGTGAGTCTGCCCGGGTAGGTACCATCACCCTGCCTAATACTGCCGTGAAGCAATAATGCGTTTCGGCTTGAAGAGTGGGGCAGCCGCTGTAACTATACTAAGACCTTAGAACTTATATCTCAAGGTGGGTGGCGCATTTACGGTGGACTGTGAGCTCGTCTACCTTTTTATTTTTTTATTTTTTATTTATTGCTTAGATGGGTGGACGAGCTCACAGCCCACCTGGTGCTAAGTGGCTACTGGAGCCCATAGACATCCACCTACCTACCTTAACAATAAAAAAGGCAAGATTAGATTACACCATAGGCAGATGCGTCTTTTCAATACAGACAATGCAAACGGATGCGGCCTCTCGGATTCTATCAGCAGCTACACAGACGCTCTGATGAGAAACGTGATGTTCAATACTGCATGTGTTTTAAGGTTGAAACAATTTTACAATAAACTTTTTTTCAAGGGCCAGGAAATAATTAATTTGATTAGGTCAGGCCTTTCAGGGGGCCCTTGTACGTTCGGTTTGAAGAATGGGATAAAAAACAACTGTAAAACCGAGACTTAGAATTCAGGTTTCAAGGTGGGAGACGATAATTACGTTGTAGATATCTATGGGCTCCGGTAACCACTTAACATCGGGTGGGTGCTGAAATCGTCCACCCATCGAAGAAATAAAAACACAAAATCAAATACAGTCAGGAAATAGGTGAATAACAAGACTGCATCAGTTTAAAACTGTATTCCACGCAGAAACTATACTGAGGAGATCTTTGGTCAGGACTCACTATCATACTCCTGGTCTAGTTATAGCCATGCTTATAATAATATTAATTTGATATATTTTGTAGAGTGTTACTTTACTTATATCAAGAAATAGCGAGCCCTGAGTAACAACCTAGTCTTCTTAGTGGTGAAATTGCATTCTGGATTTACAGTGAAGCTATGACGATTTAAAAATGCATGTAGAAGCCTACTGGGAAAATTTATTGTTATGAATCAAATGAGAAATTATTTTGCCACTCATGTCGTAGAGAAGCCATTGGACTGGTTTTCCTTTATGAATTGTAAGCTTATGTAAACCCTTCTGTAATTGCGCTACTGTTTCCAGTGGAGACACGAGTCTTCGTCTAGTATTTAGTGGTTTAAGACGAATATTTGATTGACCATTAGAATTACCAGATATTTTAATCTACTGACCTAGTGACAAATGCAATTCTACTTTGGAAATTTCGAATGGTTTAGACCAAAAGGCAATTTTATGAGCTATCTGTTTTTGAATAGCTAATTATTACATCAGATTGATAAAAGATACAACCGTCTACTGTGAGTTTGAGATATTAAGGATACTTCATTATTTGGAATTGCTTACCTGTAGGCAAATTAAGAAAAATAAGGCATGTTTTCTTAAGATATACATATACGACAGTAGATAATTTGCAATTATTAATAAACTCAACGAACTGATATTAAGCTATGATGAAAACTAACTATTTAAAAACATTCTAAGACAATATTATTAAGTAATTTGGCATATATTTCGATCTCTACAATTTTCATCACATATTCGGATATATTAAATTATCAAAAATACTATGACGATAATCCACTAAGTAACAATTTCTCATATGAAAGTTGAACAATGCAAGCTTGATATAATAATATATTTCTGTTTCCTGAGGGCATTTCGCCAAACATCCTGACCGTGGTGACGATGCATTATATTGGGCCAAAAAAAGTCAAATGTCACGACAATGAAAATATTGGCGTATGTTTCGACCATTTGTAATAATCATCTTACAATGTGAATTATACATACTAGATGATGACCTACTAGATGATAGTTTTTTTTATAACGCCATCTTGTTGTGTCTTTAAAGCGGTTAGTTGCCCTCAATTAAGAAAAATAGTATTATTATTCGCCAATTGATGTCGGGAAGAGTTGATTATTGAAAACACGAATAAAACAACATTGTATGAAAATAAATCGTAGCTAGATCGATTAATCGCCCCCGAAATCCCCTATATACTTACTAAATTTTTTTTACGAAAATCGTTGGAGCCCTTTCCGAGATTCAGATTATATATATACAAGAATTGCTCGTTTAAAGGTATAAGATAGGGACAACGTAATTACAACTGTAAAATTTTAGCATTTTGTATTGTAACAGTTTAGTATGGTTTTCATAATTGTAATCACAAGAACATCAGTAAAAGATTAAAGTGGCGATGGGCTGGCCACGTAGCACGCTACAGTGACAAACGACGGACAATTGAAGCGACAAAATGGAAAGGGCCACATGGGAAAAGAAGGAAAGGACGACCTATGAAACGATGGAGTGATGATATCATAGTCACCGCTGGGAAGGAGTGGATGAGGCAAGCTGGGAACAGGGAAAATTGGACTAAGCTGGAGGAGGCCTATACCCAAATAGGGGTTCCTGTCGAGGAAAAGTGAACGGCAATGGAATTGGATATGAATGTGGGAGTCATATATGGTTGAGAATATTTACATGTAATATTTAGGTTTCTAGATGGGAAATAAAAGGCTTATTATTATTATTATTAATCACAAGAACTGTACTGTACACGACCACGAAAACTGTCACGTATTTCGAAACGTCGAAAACAATATGACCAAAATAAACACGAGATTAAATCGTAAAAGTATTTTTAAATATATCTACGTCACGCAAAAACCGTAAAAAGACATTTGTTAATGCCCTTGTAGAAAAACAAGCTTGCAGATGCTCTAATATTGAATGATTTCCTACCCTCACAGATGTCAGTAATGCCAGGGATACAGTCAAGTGGAATTTTTTTTTACTGTTTAGATGGGTGGACGAGCTCACAGCCCACCTGGTGTTAAGTGGTTACCGGAGCCCATAGACATCTACAACGTAAATGCGCCACCCACCTTGAGATATAAGTTCTAAGGTCTCAAGTATAGTTACAACGGCTGCCTCACCCTTCAAACCGAAACCCGTTACTGCTTCACGGCAGAAATAAGCAGAGCGGTGGTACCTACCCGCGCGGACTCACAAGAGGTCCTGCCACCAGGCTACCAACTGGCTGTCCAAACTAGAGAGAAAAATAACCATTGCACATGTGTTTCATAAAAAATACACTGCCAAAGTCGTTCTTTACAAGTCGCAGACATTGTTCCAAGAAAATCGATGATTACAGCCCACGTATCAATAAAGTTCTATAAGCACGAGCCCAGGCTCAGTAGGGTTTAGCGTAAATCCCTAGTAGTCTGGACGAAATTTCCTAATTGAATATTAAGTTAAAATAAAGTTAAAGCAATTGATATCTGATAGTAAGAATTTCAGGGTACATTTTCATCTTCCATGTAACATTATACTAGTCCTAAGATCTAAGATAATTGAATCTCTAATGAATAACAAGATATATGATTCCATTAAAACAACTTTTTAAGGTTTATTCGTTGTCCTAAATGAACAGATAAGCTCGCAGCCTATTATTAGTATTACCGGATAAGCCTGTAGGTCCTATAAATGCCACCGCCCACTATAAGAAATGAGATCGAAGAGACGATTATGTATATTCTAGAAAGGTTATAGTATTTGCTTTGTTTTTCGGGAGTTAAAAACACAATTAAAACTACTAGAGGCCTCGTAGTAGTCGAAATTCGACTATAATTAATTGGAATTGTAAGTTTGTACACTATTATGATTGTATTTTATACTTCTATAATCACAAATAACGCCAAGACTACACTATAAAAAATATTAACAAAGACAAATAATATTTAATCTATTCTCAATTTGACAACACACGTCAAGAACAAAAGCTTGCCAATAAATAGTATGCATGCGTGTGTGCGTCAAATACATGGTGAGTAGTGTGTGTAATGTTTTCTTTATCGATTTAATGTATCTTTTATGCATTATTTAAAAAAAATATTAGCGTTGTGCACTTCTTCTCTATATTCTCTATAAGCGTGGAAAATTTCATACTCCTCCGTCCGCGCAATTTTCGTAAAAAGGGATACAAAGTTTTTGCTTCAGGTATTAATATATAGATTATATTAGTATTGACGTTTCGGACGCTTTGCAGTTTTTGTGGTCACTGACCAATAAAAGGTCGGTTTTACTATTCGTACCGAAACACATAGCTGCTAACCATTTCATTACACGTACCCTTTCGTGTAGGCACACAATACCCTGCAAGTCTTCTTCTTCTTTTTCTTCACCTTATCCCACTAGGTGGGGACAGCGCAGCGAATTTTTCTATTCAATTCTCTTTTATCAGCCGTTATCTCAACACTCACTTCTCTCTTTCTCATATCGTCATTCACACACTCCATCCATGTCTTCTTCGGTCGACCTCTTCCCCCTCTACCTTGCACTACCATTTTCATACATTTCCTACTCACATGCATCATCTCTCTACGCAT